CTCCATAGGTGACATGTTTAAAGCTACAGCTGTGACTGCATTAAACAACCAGTGAGCTAGAACAATGACTTTTTTTCTTTGGCATGTAAACAAATAGACATTAGTTAGACCTGGGCGTTGGGTTGGCCTTTCTTTATCTGATGGATTGGTTTACTATCTGAAGGCTTGAAGAGAACCCTTCAGGATGCAATTATGGGAATGGCATTCAAAGTTAATTGGGCAGGGGAGGGGGTGTGGAGGCCATCTGGGGTTCTGGCCTGTCAACTGTTAGACCTCACAGGCCCTCAGCCAAACTTGCACACTGCACACTCACAGGCTGCCTGCAACCGTTGGGTTTCCGATGACCTCTGACGCTTCAGATGCGGTTACAGTCATAAGTTGGGAATCCAAATTCTTCATTTCTATGTCTTCAGTACAGTTTTAACGTATGTTGAGGTTCCCGCATGATTCCATTTGTGATGGGTTCTCTTTCATGTCGGTTGGCATGGTCCTCATTGTACATGGGATGATTTGTTACCATGTGATGAAGCGTGCTCAAACAACCTCCCAACCTGACTATGAACTTCACAATTTGATTGCGCAATCTCCTTTATGTCGCCCGGTAGGCACAAGGGCCTTCCTAAACACCTATGAGTTGAATGGATTGTTTTAGAAGGCCCCGACATTGCGCCATTTTGGCCACTCTAAAGGAGGCTGCCCGATCACATTGTAACCTTTGGCCGGCATCAAAACCAATCCGAAGAACTTTTGTCCAGGGATTATATCAGGGTGTAACTTTTTTAATGCTGGAAAAAGAAAGTGTCTGTTGTTTGACACCCGAGGACAGGAGAAAAATTTGTGGTAGGCGCAACCAACCAAGCTGCTGAAACCGGGTTGGTAAAAAAGACCGGGGGGCTGGGGGACTGACGTGAAAACTGGAGTAACAAGCATGGGGGGAAACCACCGATTGGTATTCAAGTCTAAGTTGCCACGGGCGACAGATCCAACTCTCTCTCGGTTTCCTTGCTCCAGTTTTCATGCATCCAGCCACTTGCCAGTCCAGAATGCCAAACAGTTCACTGTTGTGTATGTGGTTTCATCAGATGATAGCTCCACCCATTGCTAAGGGCGTTCATTGCCGCATAACCAAGTTGGAGAGGAAGTAGGCCCCAATGGTCGATGTGTCTATAGGCCCAGATTGCACCGGGTTGCCAGTTAGGATTCCTGCAGGCAATAGGAGACACTCTGGTTGCTATGGCAACCTTCCGCCCCCAACTTCCAGTCACGCACCCAACTCTTTAAGAACTAGAACAACCTCCAGCCTCTTATTCACCGCAGATTTTGAGTTTCTATGTACCTGCTGCTAAATTCCATGAGGGGGAATTTTATCAGAACCCCAGCAGACAGAATCTGGAGCAGGGGCCCCCTGGCAACCAATCAGCTTTCAGCTTTCATTTTCAAAGCTTAACTGAACAAACTGATGTGAGGGTCGAATTTGGTCGCCATGGGCAACAGCCCCAGATTTTGTC